CATATGCTGTGCGGTGGGCAATGCTTACATGGAGGCATTTCCTGGAAGGAAACCCAAATCCCCTTTGAAGTATGGATTGATCACAAAAATCTGGAAGCCCTGAGAAATCCACGGAAACTCTCCAAAAAACAAGCAAGGTGGGCTCAATATTTTGAACAATTTAATTTCACTCTCAAATATTTTCCTGGGAGAAAGAACTTCTTAGCAGATGCACTGTCCAGAAAACTCCAATACAACAGATTGAGGTTATAAAACCAATGGTCCAACTGACCCAACTAGCAGCCAAAGTAATCACCCGGACACAAGAGAAAAAAAACCCATCCCTGACTGAAGACACAACAACATCAATATTTAAGGAGGCACTACTTAAGGACGACTGGCTCCAGGCTAACAAAAACACTTGTTTACTCAAAGATGGACTGGCTTGGGTAGAGGACAAACTTTATGTCCCTGCAAGCCAGAGAATGGACCTCATGAAACGCTGCCAGGACTCCAAAATACTGGGACACTTTGGGTTTGTAAAAACCCTGCACATCATCAAAAGACAATTTTGGTGGCCGTCCCTCAAAAAGGACATTGAAAGCTATGTTGCGAGCTGCCCCACCTGTGCTGCTGCAAAGAGAAGACAAGGAAAATATCCTGGACTTTTACAAACAGTAGCAGACCCTTCTGCTCCCTGGAAAGAGATCTCTATGGACTATATAGTGGAGCTTCCCAAAAGTGCTGGAAATACTGTCATTTGGGTGGTAACTGATCTTTTTTCCAAACAGGTTCACTTTACTCCATGCCAAAAGATCCCAACTGCCAAGGCATTGGCAAAGATGTTCCTAATACACAATTATCGCCTTCATGGAGCTCCCCAATGGATTATCTCAGATAGGGGTGTTCAGTTCACATCCAAATTTTGGCGGGCGTTTTTAAACCTATTAGGCTCCACCCAGGGGTTGTCATCAAGTCACCCCCAGACGGATGGATCGACAGAGTGAACAGCGTATTAGAACAATATTTAAGATGTTTTATTAATCACCAACAGGACAATTGGACTGACCTTCTTCCTTTTGCAGAGGTAGCATACAATAACTCAGCCCATAGCAGCACGGGGTTCACCCCATTCCAGGTAGCCACGGGCCAAGAATTCAACCCCATGCCGGAACTACCCACCAAAGAACCTGAAATCCCCTCCCTTAAGGAGTGGATGGATAACTTACAAGCCATATGGCCAGTGGTAAGATTATCTTTACAGGAAGCTAGAGCAGTTTACAAAACTCAGGCAGACAAAAAACGTTGCGAACCTAAACCTTTCAAGATTGGGGACCGTGTATATTTGTCCACAAAATTCTTAAAATCATTACAACCCTCTAAGAAATTAGCACCAAAATTCATTGGCCCATTCCCCATATCCAGAATTATTAACCCCGTGACAGTAGAGCTTCAACTTCCAAAAACACTTAGGCAGATTCATCCAGTATTTCACTGTAGCTTGATCAAACCAGAGATCACTTCAAACCTCAGACCCCCACTTCCCACACCTCCAACCCCCATCATGGTACATGGGGAACAACATTTTGAAATTAAAGATATCCTTGATTCACACACTCACCATGGATCCACACAATATTTAGTAGCTTGGAAACACCTTCCTTCCTCAGAAAATGAGTGGGTAGCCAAATGACACGTAAAAGCACCCACATTACTACAAAAGTTCCACCTAAAATACCGATAAACCATCCTGAATTGCAAATGTGGTGGATGATTTTTGTTTTTTCCAGGTAGACCTGTTTTTTAAGGAGGGCAGGATGTCAGATCCGTGTATCTGTCATTTCTTCAGTGGAAGAAGAAAATTTGGGGGGGGGGGGTGATAAAGAAATCCTTTCTTGATGTAACCTGAATATATTTAATCTTATATCGAATTTGTATAACCCACACATGATACAATGGAGGGAGAGGCACAGCCAGGAGATGAGAAGATCATAAAAATTCCACAGTGAGATCTGGGGAATCTCTGGAAAAAGTTTGTTCTAAAAAGGGGGTGGGGGGCAATTAGGTATGTCCTGGGAAACTGTGAGAAAGATCATTCTTACAGAAGAGGTGGAAGGGAAATTAACATACTGGCTTCTGTTTCTCTAAATACACATCGAGATGAGGGGAGGGGTTCTAAACTCCCTTACGTATCCCTGTATACTCCTTTTGTATACAGAAATTTAGACATAAACCATCTGCCAGGATTAATGTTGCCATATTTTTGTCCTTTAGAGCAAAACAAGCTAATTTGCCTCAAAAGCAAATTATTTGATAATTATGTACCACTTTTCTTGAGAAACATAGGTACTGAGAAATCAGTTACCTTGTTTGGAGTTTCTTAGAAGCTTTTATTTTTTTGAAACGCTGCTTTGAACTCCTACATGAACTGTCTCATCTCAATAAAGGATTCCTTTTGATACGTTTGGGTCTCAGAAGTTCATTCTTGCTAATTGAGTGGGAAAAAGTTCTGTAGCCCGACAACCAGCCAAGTTCCTTAATCATTAGACCTTGCTGACTTTAAATTGGGCCCAGCAACCTACTGACAATCAGAGCAGCTACTGCAAAATATGTGCTGAAGCAGACTTCACCTCCTGTATCTTCCAATCCAGGCCTGCATAGACCATGTTGCAGAAGTCAAGACTGAGTGATGATAGACATGAATTATTGCCACTGGCCCTGGGCGGTCCATGACTGGTGCACCAGTTGATGTTGGGCAAAGGCCAGCCTTCTTTTTCACCTGTTGCTTAAGCAGGAACTGAAATTCAGAACTCCCAAATCATATATCAGCTTATTTAGGGGGAGGGACCCTGTCTAGAGCAATCACTAGAGCCAGTGTTCTTGGGGTCGCCAATGTTTATGGACAAAAAGCACCTCTGTCTTGTTTGGGCTTTCAGACATGGGTTGAATACACAGCAGCTTTAGTATACCTGGAAGAATACTTTATTACGGGTCCAGATCAGAATGCAGCTAAAATGATACAATACCTCATCCCAAACTAATAGATGCCTTCACCCAGAGGTTTCATATGGATGTTGCAACCATGGCTCAATCATTCCTTCCTTGTGACTATTCTTTGGAACTTCTCAGTCAGGAAGGAGTACTATTTTCTGAAAGACTAGTGATTTCAAAAATTAATATTATGCACTATAACTCTGCAAAAATACCTCATTGAATCTGGAGGGGAAAAAAGACAGGTATAAGCCTGTCTAGCAAGACAGTTGCTGTTAAGAATATCCTGATCCATAAACAGGTTGTGGTCTGAAGACCAGGCAGTGGTGAAGTTCTTGGGCACCTACATTCTTCACAGAACAAAGCTGAAGTCCATCTGGTCCAGCTTCCTGCTTTCCAACAGCCCTGTTTCAGCTGGTTCCCTTGGGTAGGCTCATTTCCTTAGTCCAATTTTCCAGACTGTTGCAATACATGAAGCATAAAGTAGCCACAGGAGTTGCGTTCACACAAATTGCCATGGGTTCAACTGGGCTTGCCTAACTGGTTATTCAACACTTGGCTACCAGCCCCATCATTAGTAGCCATGTTGGGAAAGGGCACACTGCCACCTGATGTTAAACCAGTGAGAGTGTTTGTGTGTCATCCTAGACCAGTGCTTCTCAAAGACGGCAACTTTTAAGATATGAAGACTTCAACTCCCAAAATTCTCCAGCCAGCCACTTAGGGAATTTGGGAGCGGAAGTCCCCACATTGCAAAATTGCCATGTTTGAGAAACACTGCACTAGATGGTGGTTTAACTAAGTAGTTGCCAACTGGTGGTCCATGAGAAAATTTTGGTGGTCCACAGAGAAATGTCCCCCCCAAAGCAATTAATCCAGGCTGCACGGGAACACAAGACTGCGCCGCCCACATGGCGTGCCCACTCGCTGGACCCCACCCTTCGGCTGAGCGCAAACGTTACCTTGAGTAGAGCCACGCGAGCAGGAACTGGAAGGTAAGACCAACGGTGGGGAGGGAAATCCGCCCCGGTGCAGCTTGCTGACGTGATGGGAAAGTCGGTCCCATATTTCAGAGCTGCAGTAGTCACTAGACTGGCCCTTTGGTCATCCTGGAGCAGCTCGTCTGTCCACGGCAGGCCAGTGGACTGGAGGAGGATGAAAGGGCCAGTCCTGTGACTACTGCAGCTCTGAAATATGGGACCAACTTTCCCACCAATGTCAGCAAGCCACCCTCAGTCAAAATCCATATTAGTGGTCCGTGGGATTTAAAATTATGAGTTTGGTGGTCCCTGAGATCCAAAAGGTTGGCGACCCCTGGTTTAAATAATACCAAACTGTAAAACTCAGACGACTATTGAGTGCCCGCAAAGGGAAAAATCAGGAATGTCACCTAGCAGTCGTCCGGAGGTTTTGCAACCCAACTTGGCATTATAGACCGTAGACTTATTACAGCTTCATGGTGCTTTACAGCCGTCCTTAAGTGATTTACAGAGTAAGCCTCTTGCTCCCAACAATTTGGCTGCTCATTTTACCCACCTCTGAAGGATGGAAGGCTGAGTCAACCTTCAGCCGTTCAGCACCAAACTGCTGGCTGTGGGCAGAGGGAAGGAGAGGAGAGGAGAGGAGAGGGAGGGAAGGAGGGAAAGAAGAGCAAAGCAATAGGAATAGCGCTTACATACCGCTTCACAGTGCTTTGCAGCCCTCTCTAAGCAGTTTTACAGAGTCAGCCTGTTGCCCCCAACAATCTGGGTCCTCATTTTTACCGACCTCGGAAGGATGAGTCAACCCGGAGCTTTCCAACTGCCATTCACAGGACCTGAGGGCGTACCCGTGTGGCGTTGGAGGAAGGCGTGGCCTTTCCAAATGCGGACACGTGACCTCGAACGCTCTGCCCTTCTCGAGCGTCAGGTTAAAATCGCATTCAGCCGCAGGCGGGGATCAACAACGGAGTCCCGCACGTGTGCGCATGCTCCGTGCTCCACCGCCGCCTTTGGGCCTAAAAGGAACGGACGGGGGGGGAGTGAGAGAGAGAGAGAGAGAGAGAGAGACTGCGCGTGACGTCACGTCACTAGGCAAGATGGCGGCCTCCGTGCTGACTCTTTCGGGCCGCGGCTGGGTGGGTTGCGGGCCGCGGAGATTTTTGTACGGTCTTTCGCGGGGCCTGTGCAGCGGCGGAACCACGCACTTCGGGTTCCAGGAGGTGTCGGAGGAGGAGAAAGGAGAGAAAGGTGAGGAGGCTGCGCCCGGGAGCCGTTGAACCGCCTGACCTCCTGGACGGCTCATTTGTGGACTTCAACTTCCAGAATTCCTCAGGCAGCTTTGCTGGTTGAGGAATTCTGGGAGTTGAAGTCTACAAGTCTTAAAGCGGCCAAGGTTGGAGACCCCTGATAGAATGTCTCTCTCTCTCTCTCTCCCTGCAAGTAGGAAGGTAGCGGTGCAGGCTTTGTGTCCCGGGTTGCCTCTTCAGCTCAGGGCATGGGGAGTTTACCAGGAAGGCTGGGCGGAGGCAGACAACAACGGGAGATTGGATTAGTACCGGCAAGTGATAATACCGCTTTAAACTACACTGCTAAGTTAGCTAGTTTACTTTATTGTCATTGCACCTCGTACAATGAAATTAAATGCCATCTTCAGTATACGTTATAACTATAAAAATAAAGACCACCCTTGGACTGTTGCATCCAGTTCAGTTCACCACGATGCAAAGAAAACTCTGGAAAGAGTGCAGAGAAAAGAGACAAAGAGGATTAGGCAGCTGAAGGTTAACCTTAAGAAGAACGGTTGCAGGGATTGGGTATGTCTCTAGTCTAGTGAAAAGAAGGACTTGGGTTGATCATGATAGCAGTGTTTCTATATTTGAGGGGCTGCCACAAAAAAGAGGGGGTCAGTCTTTTTTCCAAAGCACTAGAGGGCAGGAGAAGAAGCAAGGGATAGAAACTGATCCAGGAGAGAAGCAACCTGGAATTAAGGAGAAATTCCCTGACAGTGAGAACAATTAAGCGTGCCACCAGAAGTTGTGGGTGTTCCATCATGTGAGATTTTTAAAGAAGAGCCTAGACAGCCATTTGTCTGGAATAGTATTGGATCTCCTTCCTTGGGCAGGCGGTTGGACTGGAAGACCTCCAAGTTTCCATCCAGCTGTATGAAACCACATATCTATATATCCATTCACACCCTTGGAAATTTAAATAATTCAAATTGGAGTGTCTGCAGGGCTGATATATACAGATTGGGCAGAGCTTTGATTGTACTTTCATGGACAACATCTTGGCCTGCTGACAACTGACTCAAATTGTACTGTAAATACAGAGAGAAAGAGAGAGGTGCCAAATATCTGTTTTCCCGATGTTGTTAAATCCAAACCTCCTCCATTTGTTTAAGGTTTTCTTCTGAGAGGTCATATGCAGGCCTTTAAAAAGATAGCCCCCTAAAGGCTTACATTCTTAGCACAATCCTTAGGAATTACATGTAGCTCTCAACTTATCACCATAATTGGGAGCAGAGTTTTGTTGCTAAACAAGACAGTTAAGTGAATTGCACCTGAATAATGACTTTTTGGGCCATTTACTGTTATTAAGTGAAGCATATGGTCATTGGCTGGGCAGGTTGCAAATGGTGATCACTTGACCCCTGAATGCTGAACTATCATAATGCCAAGCATCCAAATTTTGGTCACATAGCTGTCAGATGAGATGGCAAGGACCCTTTTTCAGAGCTGATATAAATTTATGTGCACCTACGGGATAAAAACTAGATTTATAATATTGTGGCATAGATCTTTGTTGAATCCCTCTTCCATCTCGTGTAATGCATCTGCTCATTGTTGCACAGAATTTGCGTTATTATCATCTGCATTACTGTCTGGTTTGGAAGCATTACTGCTTCAGGAAGGCAGTGCAGAGTGTAGTGAGGATGGCAGAAAAGATTATTGGTAGTTCACTTCCATATAAGCGCTGCTTAACCAGGGTCTGCAGGATTGTCAGGGATGTTGCACATCCTTTTCAAGACCTTTTTTCCTTGTTCCCTTCTGGGAGCGGGGTTAATGGTATCCGAAGCAGAACATCTAGATTCAGTCAGAGTTTTGTTCCATATAGCATTAACCTTGCAAACTCAAGTTTTCTCTTTCCGCTATGTATTCAAAATTGACAGTGATGAGAGAGAGAGAGAGAGAGAGAGAGAGAGAGAGAGAGAGAGA